TTTTTGCCCCAAAATGGCTTCTTCAAAACCCTACCTTCATTGGAAACATGACACAATCCCATCCAAGATGGTCAACACTCAAGCAGAGAAGTAACAACACCGCCTTTGGTTTGACATTCAGCCCTTTATGGACCATTTTGTGTGGTTCTGGCACATTTCTATGGTACATACCGGAGATGTAGTAGGAGAACCATCATAAAATCAGGGGGGTTGTCCATACTTTGTCCGTACTTGGTAGCAATGAAGAGAGAGAGAAGTATCACAGCCAACTCCGGGCTGCTAAGCAGTGCCCTCCTAGTGTGGCCTAATCTCCATCTCCCCACCTGATGATCCTCTTAGCTTCTGGGTCGTCGCTTGTCACCTTAACCAGATCGCGTTGCCTCGGATCCTTTAACGGGCTGCTTGCCTGGAAGGGAGCAAATGGCGGCGGGTTTTTTGAGAAGAGACCTCCACGTCCCCTCATTGCCAATGGGTCGCTTCTTTGGCAACATAGCATGGCTTCCAGCGGGGTCTCGCAGAGGAAAGGAGCAGCGAGAGCATTGCGTCTAGGCCAGGGACGGGTAAAATGTCGGGAATATGGTATGCTGCTACTGTTGTGAACCGAGGAGAATTGTCCCATTAGGTGGGTAAAATATCGGAATGGGAATTGGACGTTGACGGGGCGTGGGAGGTTTGAATGTTGGATAGAGTCCCCTCTCTTGTATGGAGATTGGGACCGTATTTCAAGGGATTCAAGATTGATGGGTGATTCTAGGTAAGACAAAAAGCACGAGGTGGCTTCACGCTAATTTTTGTTTGTATAACGTTTATTGTAATCTCCTTTGAGCCTCTGGGATTAATCTTGGATGAAAAGTTGAGACGGTTTTGGAATGCCTTTTGAGCATGTCGGTTTCATAAAATGTTTGCTGAAACTGGGCATCTCCCCTTTTAATCCTGGTGTAAACTGTTTTTCGCGGAAGGTAACAACAAAGTATTAAGCAGGCTTGGATTTGTAGTGTGTTTTAATAACAGTATGGGGATATAGAAAGACATGGTTTTACTTATTTTTTGAGCAAAACGGCCGACAATCTAGTTGATTGTCTTGCTACCTTTGGATATTATATGAATGTATACAGTGTTCCTTTACTTATCACGGGTGTTACGTTCAGGACCACTCGTGAAAAGTGTAAATCCACGAAGTAGGAATGCTATGGATGTATGTATGTGTATATATGTGTGTGTGTGTTTTAATAACAGTACTTGGTTCTTGTGGGTTTTTTCAGGGTATATGGCCATGTTCTAGAGGCATTTTCTCCTGACGTTTCACTGCATCTATGGCAAGCATCCTCAGAGGTAGTGAGGTCTGTTGGAATTAGGACAATGGGTTTATATATCTGTGGAATGACTGGGGTGGGGCAAAGAGCTCTTCTCTGCTGGAGCTAGGTGTGAATGTTTCAACTGACCACCTTCATTAGCATTTGAAGGCCTGCCTGAGCCTGGGAAAATCTTTTGTTGAGAGGTGTTAAGATGTGCCTGGTTGTTTCCTCTCTGCTGTTTTGCTGTTGTAATTTTAGAGTTTTTTTAATACTGGTAGCCAGATTTTGTTCATTTTCATGGTTCCTCCTTTCTGTTGAAATTGTCCACATGCTTGTGGATTTCAATGGCTTCTCTGTGTAGTCTGACATGGTGGTTGTTGGTGTGGTCCAGCATTTCTGTGTTCTCAAATAATATGCTGTGTCCAGGCTGGTTCATCAGGTGCTCTGCTATGGCTGACTTCTCTGGTTGAAGTAGTCTGCAGTGCCTTTCATGTTCCTTGATTGGTGTTTGGGCGCTGCGTTTGGTGGTCCCTATGTAGACTTGTCCACAGCTGCATGTAGACAGTAGACTCCTGCAGAGGTGAGAGGATCCCTCTTGTCCTTTGCTGAACGTAGCATTCGTTGGTTTTTTTTGGTGGGTCTGTAAATTGTTTGTATGTTGTGTTTCCTCATCAGCTTCTCTATGCGGTCAGTGGTTCCCTTGATGTATGGCAAGAACACTTTTCCTCTGGGTGGATCTTCATCTTTACTCTCGTGGCTTGTTCTTGGTCTTGCAGCTCTTCTGATGTCTGAGGTGGAGTATCCATTGGCCTGGAGAGCCCAGTTGAGGTGGTTCAGTTCATCTTGGAGGAGGTGGGGTTCGCAGATTCTTTTTGCACGGTCTGCCAAGGCTTTAATGGTGCTTCTTTTTTGATTTGGGTGATGGTTGGAGTTTTTATGTAGATATCTATCTCTGTGTGTGGGTTTTCTGTAGACGGTGTGACCCAATTGTTGATCTGGTTTGCGGATGACTAGGACATCTAGAAAAGGCAGTCTTCCTTCATTTTCTTTTTCCATGGTGAACTGGATGTTTGGGTGGATGCTGTTAAGATGGTCCAGGAACCTGTTGAGTTCTTCTTCTCCATGGCTCCAAATGGTGAAGGTGTCATCCACATATCTGAACCATATCGTGGGCTTTTTGGTTGCTGTTTCCAGGGCTTGTTCTTCAAAGTGTTCCATGTAGAAGTTAGCTATGACCGGGCTGAGAGGGCTCCCCATAGCTACTCCATCTTTCTGTTCGTAGAATTCATTGTCCCACTGAAAGTAACTGGTGGTGAGGCAATGGTGAAACAGAGCTGTGATGTCTTCTGGGAACCTCTGGTTGATGAGTGCCATGGTGTCTGCTACCGGGACCATGGTAAATAGAGATACCACATCGAAGCTGATCAGTTTGTCGTTTGTATTTAGCTTGAGATTGCTGATTTTTTCTATGAAGTGGGCTGAGTCCTTGATGTAGTGTGTAGTGAGCCCAATATGGCTTTGTAACTGTGCAGCAAGAAATTTTGCTAGGTCGTATGTGGGGGATCCAATGGCACTCACGATGGGTGAGTGGGGTGGAGTCCTTATGGATTTTTGGGAGTCCATAAAGCCTGGGTGGATGGGCTTCCGATTTACATAGCTGCTGTCGTATGTCAAAGTTGATTGAGGAGTTCTTAATCAGAGTGTTGGTTTTTCTGGTTATTTTGGAAGTTGGGTCTTGCTTAAGTTTTCTCTATATAGTAGGATCCAGGAGTTTTCTGATCTTCTCCTTGTATTGTTATGTATGTATGCCGCTGTGTCAGCACTGAGTCCAGGAGGGCCCCCAAACTGCGGATCTGTGATTTCAGCACAGATTGCCACCCAATACCCCGATCAGCCGAACGACTGACCTGGAGGACCTCTGTCTTATCAGGATTGATCCTCAGCTTCTTCTTCCTCATCCAGGTCGTCACAGCAGCCAGGCACTGGTCCAGTATCCTCGGGGCTTCCTTGGAGTCAGGTGGAAAAGAGTAGTGGAATTGGGTGTCATCTGCATAGAGATGGCACCGCACTCCAAAACTCCGGATGACCTCTCCCAGTAGATGTTAAATAGCATGGGGGGCAGAATAGAGCCTTGCAGGACCCCGCAGGTCAATGGCCAGGGATCCGAGCAGGAGTCTCCCAGCTTCACCAGCTGGGAGCGACCCTCCAGGAAGGACCGGAGCCACAGCAGAAACCCTTCATTGCTTTTCCGCCTATCAAGTTTGACAGAAACATAGAGAAAACATGGCTGTCCCCCGCTCCTTGCCATGTTATCAACACAAGCAATTAAGATGATGTGCGAAAACCATTCCTTGCAACCTTATAGAAATGCAGCCCACTGCAATACTGTAGGTCGCTCCTTTAGTTTGGTGGCTACGTGCCTTCCAAGTCCTTTCTGATGCGTGGCAACGTGAAAGTGAACCTATTGTTGGGGTGTCTTGGCAAGAGGTTTGCCCTTCTGAGACAGCCGAGTGTGATGCGCCCAAGGTGCATATAGATTGCCCATTCGGGACCTCTGCTTGCCCATAAGACGAAGGACGTGAGCTGTGGGTCAGCAGCCCAGTCTGTTGGCATTTGTATGTTTTTGGTTTCGTTTGTTTCCTTCCCCCTCCTCCGGTCCAAAGAGCTTCCAAATCTAATCCTATTAGAAAGCTGGCGTGGGTTTTAAGGGCTCAGGGCCATCTGGGAATGAGATCACACATGGCGATGTTAAATATAGACAGCTTTGTTCAGAGATCTTTGGGCAGCGCTTAATGTGGGCTGCTCTCAGCCCGGATGTAACTTTCACAGGTAGTTAACCGTGGCAGTCCCGGTTTTTGAACCGAGTCCTGCTTTCGTGGTCGGAATCACTGGGTTGTTGTAGGTACTATTCTCTCCTGACGTTTCGCCTGCATCTAAGGCAGGCATCATCAGAGCTTGTGAGGTCTGTTGGAAACTTGGAAAATTGGGTTTATATATCTCTGGAATGTCCAGGGTGGGAGAAAGAACTCTTCTCTGTTGGAGGCAAGTGGGAATGTTGCTATTGGCCAGCTTGATTACCATCCCAACAAAGTTTTTAGGGGTGGCTTGTTACTGCCTGGGAGAATCCTTAGTTGAGAGGTGATTAGCTCTCCCTCATTGGGTTGTTGTGAGTTTTCTGGACTGTCTGGCCATGTTCCAGAAGCATTCTCTCCTGACGTTTCACCCACATCTATGGCAAGCATCCTCAGAGGTTGTGAGGTCTGTTGGAAACTCAGCAATTGAGGTTTATATATCTGAAAAATGATGTCCAGGGTGGGAGAAAGAACTCCTGTCTACAAATGTTGCAATTGGCCACTTTCGTTAGCATTGAATGGCCTTGCAGCTTCAAAGCCTGGCTGAAACTCTAGAATCAGGGCAGTAAATAAAGAGCAACACTCAAAAAGCAGGGGAATTCCAGACAAGAATAAATCAGGGCCAGCTAACACCTCCCAACAAAGGATTCCCCCAGGCAGCAATGCAAAAAGTGCTGGATACTGTAGACTCATCCCATTGGTCCCACATTATCCCCAAATGCAATTCTGACCCTTTCTGATATAATCTCAATTGCTTTAGTTTGCTGTTCCGGCAAATACTCTGCTTCTTCTACGCTATGGAATACATTTTGTGTTGGCAGACATCTAACTTCCTCTTTTTTATTTGTTCCAGTGGAAGAATCTGATATCATTGATCTTGAGAAACGGTATTGGCTCCTGAAAGCTCAATCGAGAACAGGGCGCTTTGACCTGGAAACTTTTGGACCCTTGGTTTCCCCACCAATCCATCCGTCTCTGAGCGAAGGTATGGAATCATAGAATCATGGAATCATCGAATCCTAGAGTTGGAAGAGACCTTGTGGGCCATCCAGTCCAACCCCATTCTGCCAAGAAGCAGGGAAATTACATTCAAAGCACCCCTGACAGATGGCCATCCACCCTCTGCTTAAAAGCCTCCACCACCCTCCAGGGCAGAGAGTTCCACTGCTGAACAGCTCTCACAATCATAGAATCACAGAGCTGGACCAGATGGCAATCCAGCCTCCAAAGAAGGAGCCTCCACCACACTCCGGGGCAGATAGTTCCACTGCTGAACAGCTCTCACAGTTAGGAAGTTTATTTATTTATTTACGACTTTATATAAAGGGGACTCAGAGAGGCTTGCAAGTTATATGTACATACAATATATTATATTATTAGCATAGTACAATATCAGTATTAAATATTACTATATTGTACTATACCATTGTATTGTAATATTATTAGTAATATTACATGTAATATAAATATAATATTATTAGTAGTATTATATTGCATTACAGTATAATATTATAAATATTATATGTATATACAATATATTATATTATATTATATTATATTATATTATATTATATTATATTATATTATATTATTAGCATAGCACAGGAGACAAGGTGGAACTGTCCCCTGGTCCCTTCTCTCTTCACTCTGGCCCAGAGCAGCAGTTGATGCTGGGGGAGGGGTCCCCAACTGATGACATATACAGGAGACTCCTGCGCGGCGGAGGCTCCTTCCGCATAGTGGAGGCTCCTTCCATGTGGCCGAGCCCCCTTTCACGCGGCCGTCCCCCCTCATCGCGGCTGAGCCCCCCTCATCGCAGCCGAGCCCTCCTCCTCGCGGCCAAGGCTCCCTCCTCGTGGCCAAGCTGCCCTTCGCGCGGCCGAGCCCCCCTCTGCGCGGCCGAGCCCCCCTCGGCGCGGCCGCGCCCCCCTCCGTGCGGCCATGCCCCCCTCATCGCGACCGAGCCCTCCTCCGCGCGGCTGAGCCCCCCTCCTCGTGGGAGCCCCCCCCATCGCGGCCGAGCCCCCTCATCGCAGCCGAGCCCTCCTCCTCGCAGCCGAGGCTCCCTCCTCGTGGCCAAGCTGCCCTCCGCGCGGCCGAGCCCCCCCGCGCGGCCGAGCCCCCCTCCGCCGCCGAGCCCCCCTCCGTGCGGCCGAGCCCCCCTCATCGCGACCGAGCCCTCCTCCGCGCGGCTGAGCCCCCCTCCTCGTGGGTGAGCCCCCCTCCGCGCGGCCGAGCCCCCCTCCTCGCGGCCGAGCCCCCCTCCGCACGGCCGAGCCCCCCTCCATGTGGCCGAGCCCTCCTCCTCGCGGCCGAGGCTCCCTCCTCGCAGCCGAGCCCCCTTCGCGTGGCCAAGCCCCCCTCCGCACGGCCGAGCCCCCCTCCTCGCAGCTGAGCCCCCCTCCTCGCTGCTGAGCCCCCCTCCTCGTGGCCGAGGCTCCCTCTGCGCAACCGAGGCTCCCTCCGCGTGGCTGAGGCTCCTTCTATGGAGGCTTTCAAACAGAGGCTGGATGGCCATCTGTCAGGGGTGCTTTGAATATGATTTTCCTGCTTCTTGGCAGAATGGGGTTGGACTGGATGGCCCACGAGGTCTCTTCCATCTCTATGATTCTGGAAAGTCTTTTTTAAACCTGATTCATCCAAACTGAGAAACTGTGGTTACCATCTCTTTCAGAAAACATGGTTTGATCCTGGCTTATTCTAACCCCATAGTTTCAACCTTTAGCTAAAATAGGGAGATGTATCTAATGTAGATTCCCTTCCTGGTTCATCAAGGCTTAGCACCGAAAGAGTGGGTTTAGAGGCAAAGAAGGCCTTATGCATCCCTCCATTTTATAAAGTTGCAAAATGTGATTCTTCCAGACCGGCCAATGCCTTTGTGTCAAGTTGAACTGTGTTTCTTTCCTGTTTGCAGGTCTGTTTAATGCCTTTGATGAAAACCGTGACAATCACATAGACTTCAAAGAGATATCCTGCGGACTTTCGGCCTGTTGCCGGGGGCCGGTGGCCGAAAGACAGAAATGTGAGTCTGCCCAGAGTTGCTTTGTATGGTTTTTTAAAACACCTCCCCTCCACCACCCCCCCTCAAGAGATATTTGATAGACTACAGAGTGGGTAGAATGGCGTGGATATGTTTTTTTTTTTTGTGTATTTTTGCATGTTGTGGGATGTTTCCATGTTTTCGGCAGTCAAAATTATTGCCAAATCATGCAAATTTATTTCAGAAAACAAACAAGGAGTTGGGGGGCTGTCCCACAGTGGAGTCCCGGGGCTTGCTTAGGTGATCCTCGTAGCTCGAGGATGATGGTCTTCCAGGTGTAGTGCCTTGCCGGTGGATCTGTAGGTGGTTGTGAAGCCCTATTCTTGATCCGAATTGTAAGGACATCGGTTTCCAGATGGAAGGCGGTCCCGGTCAGGGTTGGGTTGACGTGCCTTCCATTTGGCACGTTTCTTCCTTCCATGCCTCTTCGAATTCTCCAGCACTGCTGGTCACAGCTGACCTCCAGTCAGAGCGCTCACAGGCCGGGCTTCCCAGTTCTCGGTGTCTATGCCACAGTTTTTGAGGTCGGCTTTGAGCCCACCTTTCAATCTCTTTTCCTGTCCTCCAACATTCCGTTTTTTCCATTCTTGAGTTCGGAGTAGAGCAACTGTTTTGGGAAACGGTGATCGGGCATTCGGACAACATGGCATTCAGTCCACCGAGGTTGATGGTGTAGGATTTTAAATCCTTGTGTGTTATTGTCTATGTGTGAGTTATATTAATTGTATTGTTTATTTTGCTTATTGTTGTTTTTATTGATGTGTTGTTGGGCTTGGCCTCATGTAAGCCGCTCCGAGTCCCTTGGGGAGATGGTGGCGGGGTATAAATAAAGTATTATTATTATTATTATGTGGAGCCCCCTGTGCCAGCAGGACTGAAGACCGACAGGTTGCAGGTTTGAATCCGGGGAGAGGCGGATGAGCTCCCTCTATCAGCTCCAGCTCCTCATGCGGGGACATGAGAGAAGCCTCCCACAAGGATGATAAAACATCAAATCATCCGGGCATCCCCTGGGCAACGTCCTTGCAGACGGCCAATTCTCTCACACCAGAAGCGACTTGCAGTTTCTCAGGTCGCTCCTGACACGACAAAAATATTATTATTATTATTATTATTATTATTATTATTATTATTATTATTATTATTGGAGCATGGCTTTAATGCTGGTGGTCTTTGCTTATTCTAGCATGCTGACATTTGTCTGCCTGCCTTTTCAAGCAATTTGCAGAATTTTTCGGAGGTAACACTGATGGAATCGTTCCAGGAGTTGCATGTGACGTCTGTAGACAGTCAACGTTTTGCAGGCATATAGCAGGGTTGGGAGGATAATGGCTTTATAAACAAGCACCTTCGTCTCCCTACGGTTGTCCCGATCCTCAAACACTCTCTGCTTCATTCGTAAGAATGCTGCACTCGCAGAGCTCAGGCGGTGTTGTGTACCAATCCCTGAGTTGGAGGAGACTGTTTTGAAACATTCCCTGCCTAAAGTGTGGGATTTATGGATGGGGTTTAAAGCCCCTGGCTGCTCTTTCTACGACTTTATTGCTTTTACGACCTGCAGATGTGATTAATCTTCTAAGCAAGTGCTTTGCTTCCAAAAGCTTGAATGCGGCACATGTGTGTTGCCATGCAAGCGTATCCTCGAAGGAGCTTAGAAAGCACGCTGCTCTTGTTTGATGGCTTAAATACAAAGGCTTTAAAATGCAAGTTCCTTACAGTCTCCAGGCTCTATTAATTCGGTATATTATTGTGAGTTACTTTCTCATTTTATGCCAATTACATCTATTTCTCCAAGAGAGCCTGTCGTTCTTGGTTGGTGGCCAATAACCTCTTTTAAAAAAAAAAATCTTTATGGAGTATTTACAACTTACAAAATTAAAATGTATATATATAAAGAGAGAAAAGAGAGACAAGAGAAAAAATAGAATAATAATAATAATAATAATAATAATAATAAGATAAGATAAGAAAAAATATAAAAACCTCTTTTTTTAGCGGTTTGTAATTTCTTTTTTTATATATATAATCTTTATTAAGAGTTTTAGTTAAAACAGCAAATGTAGGTAAAATCCTTGGGAAAGAGCCAAAGGAGGAAAGAGATGAGTCAGGATAGAGTAAGGAGAGGGGAAGGAAAGGAGGAAGAGGAAAGAAAGAAGGAAAAAAACAAACAAAAGAGAATAAAGTAGAGAAGGAAAGAAAGAAAGAAAGAAAGAAAGAAAGAAAGAAAGAAAGAAAGAAAGAAAGAAAGAAAGAAAAGGAGGGTGGGGAAGATAGAAAAATAGTATAGGAAATTCTTGTGGGTTTCTTCGGGCTATATGGCCATGTTCTAGAGGCATTTCTCCTGACGTTTCGCCTGCATCTATGGCAAGCAGACTGCAGCCAGGAAATTAGAAGATGCAGGCGAAACGTCAGGAGAGAATGCCTCTAGACCATGGCCATATAGCCCAAAAAAACCCACAAGAACTGAGTGATTCCAGCCATGAAAGCCTTCGACAGTATAGGAAATTATTTGTTGACTTCCAGGGTATCTTCAGATTGGGCTCTTTCTTTTCTTTCTCCTATCTTCTATCTTCTGTTTCCTCCCATCCCCCTTCTTTCTATATTAATATGTTTCTTTTTTAAGTCTCAAATAATCTGTAACTTTCGACCAATCAGTTTCCTTTATCGGGATCTCATTATTTTTAGATATTAAGTACGTTAATCTACCCATATTTCTAATATCTGCAATTTTCTTCCTCCAATTTTCTTCTTCTGGGATCTCTTCCTTTTTCCAAATCTTTGCATAACAAATTCTTGCTACCATATTTAGTCAAAACAATAGTTTGTCTGTATTTTTATCTAACTTCTGGTCTATTATGCCAAGCAGAAATATTTCTGGTTTCAGAGGGATTATTATATTTAATATTTTTTGTAACGTGGTTTGTATTTTTTCCCCCCGCTATATCTTCGACTTTTTACAAGACCACCACATGTGGAAATAGGTTCCTTCCGTTTTCCCACATTTCCAACACTTTGTATTTATGTTTTTATAACATTTACCTAATTTCTGTGTGGTACCACCTATGTGACATCGTAATCCAATTTTCCTTTAATTCTACTGCATATGTGTACTTTATTTGTAATTTCTTTCTGATGCAATATTCATAAACACCAACATGGCCAAACAGCCCGAAAACCTCACAGTAACCTAGTGATTCCAACCATGAAAGCCTTGGACAACACATGTGTCTGTGTTGTTCATTCGTTCAGTCGCTTCCGACTCTTCGTAACCTCATGAACCAGCCCACGCCAGAGCTCCCTGTCGGCCATCACCACCCCCAGCTCCTTCAAGGTCAATCCAGTCACTTCAAGGATGCCATCCATCCATCTTGCCCTTGTCAGCCCCTCTTCCTTTTTCCTTCCATTTTCCCCAGCATAATTGTCTTCTCTAAGCTTTCCTTTCTTCTCATGATGTGGCAAAAGTATTTCATCTTGGCCTCTACTATCCTCTCCTCCAATGAGCATTCGGGCTTTATTTCCTGAAGTGTGGACTGGTTGGATCTTCTCACTGTCCAGGGCACTCTCAGAACTTTCCTCCAACACCACAGTTCAAAAGCGTCTCTCTTCCTTCAATCTTCCTTATGGTCCAGCTCTTGCATCTATAGGTTACTACAGGGAATACCATTGCTTTGACTATGTGGATTTTGGTTGCCAGCGTGATGTCTCTACTCTTCAGTACGTTATCGAGATTGGTCCTTGCTCTCCTCCCAAGAAGAAAACATCTTCTAATTTGGGTTGTTGTAGGTTTTTTCGGGCTATATGGCCATGGTCTAGAGGCATTCTCTCCTGACGTTTCGCCTGCATCTTCTAATTTCCTGGCTGCAGTCTGCGTCTGAGGTCATCTTTGCACCTAGAAATACAAAGTCTGTCACGGCTTTCATGTTTTCTCCCTCTATTTGCCAGTTATCAATCAGTCTGGTTGCCATCATCTTGTTTTTTTATGTTTAACCCAGCTTTTACACTTTCTTATTTCACCTTGATCAGAAGGCTCCTCAGCTCCTCCTCACTTTCAGCCATCAAAGTGGTATCATCTGCATATCTAAGGTTGTTAATGTTTCTTCAAGCAATTTTAACATGTGTCTATATTGTGTTTATTATGTATGTGCTGGGAAGAAAACCAAACAAAAACAAATATATTTTTCCTTGCATTCTCTAGTTCTCCCTGCATCCCTGGACTCGACACATTTAGACCCTTGTCTTCTCTCTTAAACTCTGTTCCTTTTTCTCTTGTGTCTAGTTTGCTTCAAGGTTTTTGATATTGACCGAGACGGAGTTTTGTCTCGTGGGGAACTTGAAGAAATGATGGTTGCCCTTTTGGAAGTATGGAAGGATAATCGGACGGATGACATTCCTGTAAGTATCCTTGTCTGTTGTACATTTTAAAAAGTAGTTTACAGTACAGTGGAGCACATACGGCATACCCGAAACCCCTTTCTAAAATATTATCTGCAGCAGGGAAAAGAATGAAGCTGATGTTAAAATGATTTTTATCTATTGTTTTTCATTTTAATTATTGTATTGTTTTTAAGTGTTTTTACACTACAAATAAGATATGTGCAGTGTGCATAGGAATTCATTCATGGTTTTTTCAAATTATAATCCGGCCCTCCAGCAGTTTGAGGGACTGTGACCTGGCCCTCTGTTTAAAAAGTTTGAGGACCCCTGTTATATGAGAACACAGAAATGCTGGATCACTCTCACACCCCAGATTTCCAGGAAACTATGGTGGATAAAGTGGAATCATAGGACTATAATTGTGTAGTGTGAATATTAGATCTCCTCTAAGCATGCCCAAGTCCTCAAGATGGGCTCTTCCAGATTGGGCTAAATTAACGTAATTTATGGTTTTGCTCCTTGATTTTTGCTGGTTGTTGTTATCTCATATCCATTTATTTCATCTCATATCCATTTATTTCATCCATACTTGTATCTACAAAAGTGCCATTTCCATAATCTGTATAAATAAAAATGTAATGTTCGTTCGTGGGATTAATATAATTCAAAAACCACTGGACAAATTGATACTAAATTGGGACACAAAACACCTGTCGGGCCAACGAGTGACCATCACTCATAAAAACACTGAAAAACACGGCGAAAGGGACCTAAAAAGCCAAAAAAACCCACAAAAATTACATTACAACCCATGCGCAAAACCACATATGTCCACACACACACACATATATACACATATACACAAATATATACAGAAATATATACACAGATATATGCACACACAAAACATGCACAGAAAGGGGGAAGGAAGGAAGGAGAGAAAGAGGGAAAGAAGGAGGGAAAGAGAGAAGGAAGGAAGGAGAGAAGGAAATAAAGTGAAAGAGGGAAGGAAGGAGAGAAGTAACGAAAGAGAGAAAGAGGGAGGGAAGGAAGGAAGGAAAGAGAAGGAAGGTGAGCAAAGGAAGTGAGAAAAGAAACGGATAGGGAAGGAAGAAAGAGGAAGAGAAAGAAAAGGGGGGAGGGAGGGAGGGAGGGAGGGAGGGAGGGAGGGAGGGAAGGAAGGAAGGAAGGAAGGAAGGAAGGAAGGAAGGAAGGAAGGAAGGAAGGAAGGAGAGAGAGAAAGAGGGAGGGAAGGTTGGCTACAGCAATGCGTGGTGGGTACAGCTAGTCTATATAAATAAAAATGTAATGTTTGTTTGTGGGATTAATATAACTCAAAAACCACCGGGCAAATTGACACCAAATTTGGACACAATACACCAATCAGGCCAATGAGTGACCATCACTCATAAAAACACTGAAAAACACAGCAGAAAAGACTTAAAAAGCCAAAAAACAAAAATTACATTACAATGCATGTGCAAAACTACACAAACACATATATACACACACAAAACACAAATACCCAGACTGGGCCACAGCAACACATGGCAGGGGATGGCTAGTCTATATAAATAAAAACGTAATGTTCGTTTGTGAGATTAACATAACTCAAAAACCACTGGGCGAATTGACACCAAATGTGGAGACAATACACCAATCAGGCCAATGAGTGACCATCACTCATAAAAACACTGAAAATCACAGCGGAAGGGATTTGAAAAGCAAAAAAAAAAAAAGCGCTACAGTGCATGCACAAAACAACTTCCACTGGCAAAGAAAACACGCAAGAGCATATCCACACTCTTTTCCCCGACTACAGCTCCCAGCAGATAGATTGATCAAGAGGACTGCTGGGAGTTGCAGTCCAAGAATAGGTAGAAAAGGAAGAAAAGGGAGAAAGAGGAAGGGAAAGAAAACGGGGGAAGGAAGGAAAGAGGAAGAGAAGGAAGGAAGGAAGGAAGGAAGGAAGGAAGGAAGGAAGGAAGGAAGGAAGGAGAGGAGGAAAGAAAAAAGGGAAGGAAGGAAGGAGAGAAAGAGGGAGGTAAGGTTGGCCACAGCAACACGTGGCAGGCACAGCTAGTCCCCTATAATTCAAACAAAGGCAGAGAATGGAATAAAGGATGTTGATTTATTTATTGCAGTTTTATCTTATCTTTAATATTTTTTAGAATGGTGCTATTGTGGAAAAGAGCTCTTTCCATGACACACTGTAACTCCACAATAACAATGAGAATAGTGTGATTTTCTGACATGTTTATCTTCTCCGAAGGAACCCCCGTACCTCCTACTTTTTATATGTGAGACTGAATCATGCTTGATACCCTTTTGCTCAATGAGTGTTCCCCCCCTTTTCTTTCTTTTCCTGCCTCCCAAGGAGATGCACACAAACATCCCCGACATTGTGGAAGCGGTTCTCAAGACGCACGACACCACCAAGGTAAGAAAGGTGCAGCTTAACTGCATGACTATGCTTTGCCCTTATTGGGATGGAGATGTGTCGTGTTTGTGCTTTGTAACGTTCTTTGTTTGCTTCTGCCCGGAACCAACTGTTGGAGCATGCAAGGAATCAGATTATTATTATTATTATTATTAGTTTATTATTACTACTACTACTACTATTATTATTTTTATTGTGTTTGTGTCAACTGTAATTTATTATTGTTATTATTATTATTTAAATATATTTTATTATGTTTTTCCGATAACAATAAAAGAGGGGGAACATATATTTAGTACAGGAAAGTAGGAAAATATAAAAATAAGATCAAGAAGGTAAGAAGATGGTGGAAAAAGAAGGAATTATTATTATTATTATTATTATTATTATTATTATTATTATTATTAATGTGTGTGTGTCCACTGTAATTTTTTATTATTATTATTATTATTATTATTATTACTATTATTATTATTAATGTGTGTGTGTCAACTGTAATTTATTATTATTATTACTATTATTATTATTATTATTATTATTATTATTATTATTAATGTGTGCGCATCAACTGTATAATAAAATGCATGAAGCTGATTGATCAGGCAATGCCCAGGGAAATGGATGAGCCTGGAACTTTTGGATACAGTTACATTTTTGTTCAGGCTTAAGCTATGCAGTTGCAGACAGCTGCTGAAGGAGTTTATCCTAATGGACCAAGAAAGGCTATTTTAAATCTCTCATATAAGGACGTAATGTTCATCTGCATGGTATATTTTCTTTCTCTGGCAAGACGTGTGTGGGCTGATCGAATGTGAACTACATGTGGTTTATTTTACATCACGCCACACCAGTCATAGCACTACTTCCCTTGATATTTCAGATCTACTGGAAGGGATTGTTATGGTGGCTTTTGCTGACAAAACAAGGGATTCACTTCCAATATTTGTTTCTTGGCCCTGAAAACCCTCGGAGAAACCCTCACGTTATTCTCCCTTTTGTGTTTCAGCTTGGGCACCTCACGTTGGAGGATTATCAGATCTGGAGCGTGAAGAGCGCTCTTGCCAACGAATTTCTGAACCTACTCTTTCAGGTGAGTTTCCCACCGGCTGCATCCTCCACTGCTGCATTTCAGCCTGGTTTTCTCCTCCATTGCTTTTTGCAATCTTGGGAGGCCAAGTGCTGCGTCAGCTCTTGTGCCGAAGTGTTCTCAATGAAGCGGGAGCTTTGCAGAGATGCTTTGCCATACTTGACTGAAGAAGAGTTGAGTATGTCTTGGGATGCTGCCTTGAAGCACAATCTGTTGGCCTTTCTGTTTTTGAGAGTGGAAAAAAATCTCCATGGCAGGACATGAGATTTTTGCTTTCATGACAGTGCTATTCTGGGGGGAAAAACGCGACCCAAAGTCCAAAAAAGTTATTTTTTTGGACTAAAAGTTGCATAATTTCCCCTCCAGCAGGATCCGTGACCATAGTAAATGGTGGATTATTTATTTATTTATTTACTTATTTGTGTTGTTTTTATCTCGCCCATTTCAGCCCAAAGGCGAATCAGGGCGGCGTACAGACCGGCAACAATTAGATGCCGTCTATATATATGCATACATATCTCAGTTAAAAGCAATTAAGTCACATCATAAATACATATAAAAACCATAGAAGCAATAAAAACTATAAAAACCCTCATCTGTTTACATCAGGGGTCCTCAAACTATGGCCCTCCAAGGTCACTTACCCGGTCCTCGCTCAGGGTCAACCTAAGTCTGAAACGACTTGAAAGCACACAACAACAACAATCCTATCTCATCGGCCAAAAGCAAGCCCACACTTCCCATTGAAATGCTAATATGTTTATATTTGTTAAAATAGTTCTTAATTTTAATTATTGTATTTTTTTTTGCACTACAAATAAGATACGTACAGTGTACATAGGAATTCATTAAATTTTTTCAAATTATAATCCGGCCCTTCAACAGTTTGAGGGACTGTGACCTGGCCCTCTGTTTAAAAAGGTTGAGGACCCCTGGTTTACATCGTCTTAGTCATTCCGTGTTCATATTCCTATTTGAGTTTATCTGGTCACGCTGAAGTTCCAAACGCTTGCTCAAAGACCCAGGTTTTCATAGAATCCTAGAGTTGGAGGAGACCTCATGAGCCATCCAGTCCAACCCCATTCTGCCAAGAAGCAGGAAAATTGCATTCAAAGCACCCCTGACAGATGGCCATCCAGCCTCTGTTTCAAAGCCTCCAAAGAAGGAGCCTCCACCACACTCCGGGGCAGAGAGTTCCACTGGTAAACAGCTCTCACAGTCAGGAAGTTCTTCCTAATGTTCAGGTGAAATCTCCTTTCTTGTAGTTTGAAGCCATTGTTCCATTGTGTCCTAGTCTCCAGGGCAGCAGAAAACAAGCTTGCTCCCTCCTCCGTATGACTTCCTCTCACATATTTATACATGGCTATCATGTCTCCTCTCAGTCTTCTCTTCTTCATGCTAAACATGCCCAGCTCTTTGAGCCGCTCCTCATAGGGCTTGTTCTCCAGAGCCTTGATCATTTGAGTCGCCCTCCTCTGGACACATTCCAGCTTGTCAATGTCTCCCTTCAATTGTAGTGTCCAGAATTGGACACAATATTCCAGGTGTGGTCTAACCAAGGCAGAATAGAGCATGGGGAGCATGACTTCCCTAGATCTAGACACTATTGACGTAGGCCAAAATCTCATTGGCTTTATTTGCCGGCGCATCACATTGTTGGCTCATGTTTAACTTGTTGTCCACGAGGACTCCAAGATATTTTTCAAACGTACTGCTCTCAAGCCACGCATCCCCCATTGCATTTCCTTTTTTCTGCCTAAGTGGAGTATCTTGCATTTGTCCTTGTTGAACTTCATTTTGTTAGTTTTGGCCAATCATCTCTCTAATCTGTGAAGATCGTTTTGAATTCTGCTCCTGTCCTCTGGAGTATTGGCTCTCTCTCCCAATTTGGTGTCATCTGCAAACTTGATGATCCTGCCTTCTAAGCCTTCATCTAAATCATTAATAACAGGACCGGGCCCAGGACGCACTCCGAAACAGCTCCAGATTATGATAGTGAAAAAGACGTCGGCAACAGAAAGACCCCTGTGGTTATTTTATGCTTCGCAAAATCTCTTTTCTTGCATTGAAAAATGATTGTGTACCCCTGCCGCTCTTGTTTATATTTGCAGGGCTTTTCATCCCTCTAATATGAACTTGAAATCCATCTTCCCTTTCAACCATTGCAATAATTTCCAACTGGGATTCAAATTGGCGGCCTTGAGAATTGCGTGAGGAGGGAGAGGGAGCGTATGCATCTTCGCAATCTCAGATTTCGCCCTTAGCAAGCAAGCAAGCCGGTGCTGATGCTCCCGTAAACATTTCCTTTTTTTTTTTACCTTGCCTGCCTTGCCGGTTACTGCGTGGGTGGATTAATTCTGCAGAACTTCGCCTAGTTATAAAAGGAGAGAGATGCTGGCTTTATTCCGACGCATATGAAAGCGTAGCCAAGACATCCAGCATGAGGTCTGATAGGATGGAATGGACAAATAGTGCTTCCCATGGCTGCGTATGGCATCTCAAACAGAGCTTTTTTTTGGACAGCAACCCTCAGAATCCCCAGCCAGGATGGCCTCTTAAGCAGGGCATTCCAAAAGCAACTCATGTCCATAAAGGGAAAATGTCGCCCCATTATTGTCATTTTTGGTTGAAATAATGGGA